GNTTATTATTAATATTATTATTATTACTATTTTTATTATTGTTATTATTATTTTATTTAAATGTCTAAATGTCTATTAAATGCTCAATGTGTGTTATTAGTTAATTAAATGCGTGAAATATATTTTATATAAATAGCCGATTATTATTTTAATTTATCGTGCGAATCGAGCCATTTTTATTGGCTAAATTAAACCGCGAATTTTGAGCCCGAGAGAACCGTTTCTTTGAACCACAAATTCGGCCCAAAACCTGTTCGGCCCTACAAGCCAAAACCGGCCCAGCTATTATTTTTCCCTTGGTTTTTCACGAGAGGGTTTGGGAAATTTTATTGGACTTGGGTAGCAAGACATAGTTTAACCTAAGGAGAGTATATATATTTTCTTGTTCGGTTCTCTCCTCCCAGAACCAAATCCCGCAGCTTTTGTGACCCTTTTCTTTCTCTCTCGCCTCTGCCGCTCCTCATCCCCTCGCCATCAGAAACCGATCATCACCTCTCATCTCCTCTCCTGTTCGTGAGCCATCGCCGTCCTCAGCCGTGGAACGGCGAACTTCCGGCGACCTGCAAGCACGTCGCGAACCAGGAGTCCTAGCAGCCCCGACGATCTCCTTTGCCGCTGCAACGCGCCATCGTGACGAACTTCCGGCAGACCTCTTTTTCTCGGCGAACTATTCTCCTCACGCTCGACCATCATCGTGAACCTATCTCGTCGACTCGTGAGCAGGAACTCCTCATCACGTCACCCCCCCTCTGTTCGATTTTTTTTTTCCGGCAAGCCTGAATCCATCGCGAGCAACCCACGAGCTTCCGACGACAAGACCCCCTCCGTTCGTTCAGCACTTTGACGAGCAGCTTCCGACGACCTAACGGCAGCGACCCTTTGTCCTTCTCAGCCGCTGCGGCGCCTTTCTCTTCCGGCGAGACGCGAACCTCCGTCGAGCCCGTCAACCTTACGTTCGTCCGTTTTCGTTTGATTCCCGAGAACGGTACAAAGGCTCGATCCCGTCTCGTTTAAATCGTTTATGTTATTTATGAATATGTGTGATTTGCGATTTGACATGAGAGATGTGTATATTGTGCGATTGTGTTCGGTATGATATTTGGTGATAGATATGATTTTATGTGTCGTTTATGTTGTTCGGGATCTCTTCAATTATGAGAAATTGAACGAGACCCCGAAAGTCGTGTAAGTCAGTGGATATTGGAACGATGTCGAGTCCTTGGCCTTATGGGAAGGCCTCGGACGAGAAATTTCGTGTGTTTAATTAATCGTTAAATTGTCGAGCTTGATTGTCGCTGTTTTGGTGTTTGAATTTTTAAATATAGCTCGCTGCTTGGAATGACTTGAAATTTTGAGGGATATGTTATTTGTTCATTTCCAGCCTTGTGTAAAAATTTCGTAATTTTTAGAGGCCTGTAGCTATTTTTAATAATTAAAGTGAATTCTGATCAGAATAGTGTTTAATGCTTAATAAACTGGTTCGTGATTCAAATGATCTGAAATTTTGATATGTTGTGCCTCTGATGTGTTTATATGCTGTGTTAAATTGTTAGAATTTTTGGAGTAAATTTGTTATGGTTAATAATTTAATTTCTGTTTCTGCTGAAAACTTTATGAATTACTATAAATCGGTTTGTTCATGAAAAATTCTGAAACTTGGCTGAGATGTTTATATTTGGTGTATATTCATGCTGTTAAAAGATGAAAATTTTTGGAGTTCATTTTAGTGCTGTTTTGATTTAAATTCGATAATTGCTGAATCTTGTGTGAATTTTTAAAAATAGCACATTTAATGTCCAGGGCTGATATTTTTACATGTTGTCCCTATCATGCTGTAGCTTGTTGTGTTAAATTTTCAAGTCCTGAATCATTCATTTGGTTCAGATATGAATTCATGTGCGTTTTTGCTGATTTCTTGTAAGAATTTTATAAATTAATGTGCTTTGAGTTTAAAGCTGAAAATTTATGGTTTTACTTATTACTGGAAGATGTAATTTTGTGTAAAATTTCAGAGCCTAAGTCGAAGGGCAGCCTGGTCAATGAATTTCATGTGATTAATAGCTAGTAATTTCTAAACTATGATTTTGAAGTTAAATCTGTGATTGACTTGCTTTCCATTCTGTTGTGAGTTGAACTTGGTCTATCCTTAGATGGATTTATGTGATCTCCCATATGTGGTTTGGTCGAGTTTAGTGCCGAGTCTTAGTGTTCCAACATCCACAGGACTTCACGAACTACTTAGTCGAAACAAGTTCGACTAGGTCTGTTTTGTGTTTTCCGTTTAAAGTCAAGATAGATGTTGATTGTAGCATCTTGACTTAATGTAGGTAATTGAGGAGTCCAGCCTCGACCTACTACCAATTGCTTTGAGTTATTATCAATTCGGAATCCAGGTGGGTTATTCTAAAATTATCTATGCATATGCATGATTTTAATTGTGATGAAAGTTTGGTGTGATCTATGTATGAAAATGAACATGTAGCCTATCGATGTGAGCTTGATGACCATCGGTACGGTTGTCCCCGTATGATAAGATACGGTTACCCTGTGATGTAAATCTCATAAGACCTATGAGAAGGCCGTGTCATTGATGTGGCACGCACTCCCATGTTTCACTGATATGGCATGGCTTAGCTTTGATGAGCATAGATGTACATGAGTGAGTCTTTGATGAGACTATAGTCATTGATGTGGCTAGAGATGTGACATGATTTTATTGTTTATGTTCATGCTGCGACCATACCATTTATAAGTTATTCATGTGCATAGTGTGAGTACGATATTTAACTGTACTCACTCCCACCTGCTCGTAACTGATGCAGGTTAAGCAGTTGGCAGGTGACGAGACAAGACGGCTGGTGGTTATGTCATTTATTATTGCTTATTTAATTTTGCTTCCGCTTAGTTTATGAACTCATGTTGAAAATTTGGATATTGATTATGTCGTTTTGAATTTGAGAATTATGAATTGTCTTTTATGATTTGGAACTTAATGAATGCTAGTGAGGTTTATGATTTAATATTCGAGCATGCTATCTTTCGTTTTAATGTGGTTGCTTTTTCGGATAAAGGCTTTTGGTAAATTTGAGTAGCGCCCACTGAGTTTTTAATTTAATTAAAGTTTGCGAAAAATTTATTGTGATTTTTATTAAATAAATTCGATAAATCCTTTAAAATAAAGTGCGGCGTTACAGTTGATAATATTCAGAAGAAAAATGTTGGCTTAGATGAATAGTGGATTTTGAGTTAAAAAATTTGTATCCAATCGTAGTTGCATCAAAAAAAATAATAATAAATAAATAAATAAATAAATTCGACGAGACAAAACAAAAAAAACATATATATATATATCAAAACCTTATATTTATGCAATAAGATTTCAGATTAAAAAAAATTATGTATTTTCTTATTATTTGTATTGATTTTTTAAGCATTTGAATTTACTAATGAACGAAGTCAAATCAGAATATAGATATTTCCGAGTTTCCATTAGATTAAAATGAACAAAAATTCAAGCCCATTTCCATACAGATTGATCTACCTTATTTTGTGCAGCTGATGTTGAAGCCGGTGTTGTCACCAGTGCAAGCTCCCAGCCAGTGGATTCACTTGACAGCTCTGTGTTCAAAGTGAGGTCCAGAACGCCTTCTACACGCAGTTATCAAACATAATCAGATACGTGGAGCATTCTAAATATATAGATTCTAACATACATAGAACAAGAAATTAATTACCTGGTGTAGCAAGTGAAAGAGGAAGAGTACTTGCAGCACCCGGTTCAGATGTTTCTTGACTTGGCTCATCCCAGCTCTGAGAATGAAAATGGAATTGTTTTCACAGCTTATAGAACTATTGAACTAAAAGGGCTAGAAAAAAGCTATAGTTAACAAGAAAAATGTATACCAATAGATCAGGAATCAATGGCACATCTTTATCAGTCTTGTTAGTTTCTGTGTTCTCATTGGATGGCGCTTCTGCTGTGGCTTCCTTTGGATCAGCCTCCAATGTATGCTCGGAAGGCGCAGCAATCAATTTTGGCATGTCATCATCCTGATAGCCCAAAAAAAAAAAAAAATGAATAAATAAATTTTTTTTAAAAAAAAAAAAATTATCCTGATAGCTCAAGGAGGAAAAGTTATTTTAGATATGCCTCATGATTGAAGTGAGTTGCAGAAACTAAGTCCAATGTGTGGGTTGATTATGAAACAAACCCAAAAAAGCTTCAAAATTATGACATTTGCGCCTGAGGTTTTTCCTCATTTTCGATTTAAGGAGTAATGCAAAGTCTTAACAATAGTAGCAGGAATGTTTGAAGTGTTTCCTTTTATGAAATGTGACAGGGGGTAGAATGGGTTAACAGGGAATCAACTTAAAGGGGTTCTTCTGTTATTTTAGAAACCAATGAGGCTTTTAGTAACTAAGCTAAATGAATTACGTGGAAATTGTTTGAATAGTAAGAGCATCATTTTAGGTAATGCATATATATAAGAATGAAACTCTTAACCATTACTATATCTAGTTCACAATGACAGTGTGGATTTTCTTCTCATTTTTGTATCAGTACATACACTTGTCCAGGGTAGCATTAGCGTCTGTGGGGCATCTTTTATATACTCTTCCATGGATTGTAAAAACGATGGAGGGGGCTGCAAGCATGAGAAGCATTGAATTGATATAAGGATCAGAATAAATTAATTAGAACTCTCAGTTATGTATATGGTCTTCAACCTGTTCGATTTTGACATACTTCTGTCTTCGCCCAAACTCGAGGCCCCGGCACATCTCAAAGAACTCAGATAACCTGTTGGCCTGTAGCAACATGTGTTGTCAAGAGGTGTGCATATTTGCAAGACAGAATTCGAAAAAATTAATAAATAAATAAATAAATAACATACTTGTTCCCCTGACTTTCGATAGATTTCAAGTGCTCTGACAGCATCTCGCCGTTGCATCTCAAAAAACTGTTTCAAGTATAAAAGTTGTTGCGGATTCTTAAGAAAACATAATTGATTTTAATGAAGAAACAAAAAGAAGAAGCAAAAAAAAAGGGAAAATACTCCAAAGTTCGAACCTTGTCAACCAACATTAGTACTCCGTCTGTTATGGCCACATAAAGCCTCACGCTTTCTGCTGCGACCTGAAGTAAAAAAATAAAAAATAAAAAAAATTGTTAGAATGAACGAAAGAGGCTGTGAGTAAATTAAGCTATTACTATACGGAAATAGATGTCAATAGCTGCTCACAATTGAAAGGGCAAAATGTATCATAAAATTATGTCGGGCTGCTCCAAGTGGCTGCACCAATGCCAGACAATTAACTTTTATTAATATATTTTTTGGGACTGTTGAACAAATGGACAATAGAGATATGCGCAATTACAAATGTACATAGAAACCTGACTAGATAACTGCCATTTTCAATACCTCGCAACCAAGAAGCCGAAAGAGAAGGTTCTGCAAAGCAGGTAGCTGCTCGAACAAAGCAGGCGTGTCGAGCTTCTTTGTTCTCTGTAAAAATAACAGTTAGCTTATTAACAAGGTTATCACCGTTCTTAAAGACCTACCATGATGATGGAAAATGTTGCTATAGGTTGTCCTAGCCCAAAATTGAACCACATTATATTCTTATGATGTACCCGAAAAACAGAACAGTACAGTACCCAACAATTTAACTTTTATTATATATTTGAATAGTCAGATCTAGAAACTATAAAATGAAAAAATAAATAATTTTCACTTTCCACACAAAAATAATACATACCGAGTGATCCCTGTAAAAATCGTATTTCAGCACACGAAAACATTCCAGGCACTCCTCGATATATAGAGCATATGAACGAATCCAAGCGGAATAATCCCATGCTGAAAAACATTGAATCTTAATGGTGTGCTTGGATACAAATATATCCGCTCAAAAGTATTTTTTTTAGTTCGCCAAAGGAAGTAATATTTTTATAAGTAAAAGAACAGGGAATACCACTAGGGCTCGAGTCATCCTTGAAATGCAGTAAGTTCAACAAATGACCTCTGCCTTTGTTGTGGAAAATTAATTCCTCGCAAAATGAATGATCAACTTCCCTCAATGCACGATGTATGACGATCAATGTTTTCAATGCAACCTGAGAACCAAATTTAAATTTTGTTCAAGGGAAATGAAAATAGTCAATAAACAGTGATGTGTGGGTTGAGCATCAAGCAAGAAGAAGTAATCGAGTCGCTGAATTTACCATATAGGAAATAGTTAAAACAAACCACCATTTTTGTCTGAACAAAGATTAACTGTCTAGTTGTGTAATGACCCAGCTTTATATTACATTATGATGTAATATCTGACAAACAATCTCCAACATTCTATAACATTATACCAAGACAAAAAAAAAAACACAAAAACACACACTTCTTAGCCTCTACATGATAGCGTGGAAAAATGACAAATTGGAAGTTCCATTTGCAAGTTCTCAAAGATGTGCAACACTATAAAAAATTGTGGTCAATGAATTTACAAGATATGATCTAAAGAAAAACAGAAATAGGATATAGGCAGAATAGTCAATAATTCATCTTCTTAATTGTACCGGACCTTTTGTTTTCTAAACTGTTAGCAGAAAAGGGTGTTGATAGCTTAAAACTAAGATCTGCTGACATGGAAGAATTATTAAGGCCGTGTTTACACAACTACTAATTATATGTGTTATGTGACCTCCGAAAATGATCATGATTCCAGGATTTAACTATAAAGACTCAGATTCCCTAGGAGATGAAAGTAAAAAAATAGGGAAAAACAGACGGTAGAACAAATGATGAAAATAGTGTCATGCTAAACAACTAAAAAGACTATCAAGATATATTAAGACACTTGTTTCGAGTTATTTAACATGAGAACCCTTCAGCCTACCTAAAATAAGAGACAAGGCATCTGTAAGTTAAAGAACTGGCAAACCTCAAGCATTGAGTTCATTTTTACAAAGCATCTATGTTTCTAAATTAGAAATGTGATGAACTTTCTTTATACTTATTTGGCTCAAACTAGAAAATATAAGGTTGGGATGCCTACCACCCAAGTACGTGTTTTTGCCAGGCGCTTTGTGAGTGCATGTATACAGAAAGAAACATCTGCTCGAGGCCTTGAACCAGAAACTGCACCAAGAATAACTGGCAAAAAAAGAGAACTATGTAGTTACATTTTTTTTTTTTTTTTTTGTTACAAGTTATTTTTGTCCCACATCCATTAGTAAGTGGGTTGTTATTATGTATAAGTGTGGGTTGGACACCCTCTCCCTTTGAGCTAGCTTTCGGGGATGAGTTCTACCAAGGCCCATTTATCATTGTAGCAAAGTATCTATGTTCTTAATTTGGAGACGATGTTGGGTGTTAGAAGTTATGTTTATCCCACATCGATTAGTTAGTGGGCTGTTGTTGTGTACGTGTGGGTTGGGCATTCTCTCCCTTTCAGCTAGCTATTGGGATGAATTCTACCAAATCACATCTATCATAATTCATAATAGAAGGAATTAAGCTTTTAAATCTTACAGGAAAATGCCAAATTATGAGGTTGCCTACAAATTTCTGAAAAAATAATAAAATGTTCATCTTACTTCGGACATGCTTCTCTTTCGGCAAGACTTCGACATGGTTTGTGGCTTTGAGGATAGAAACATTCAAATCCTGGAACAAACAAGATATACATAAAACCTTGTAAGTAAAAGAAATCTCGACATACTTGGGTGGAAAATTTTACCTTGTATTCACTATTGACTTTGGCCAGGCCAACTGATGTAGAGTCTTTAATAGCTCCAATAGCTTTTCTGAAGTTTTGTTGGCTGCTACTTCCAGCAGCCATTTCTGGAGGAACCAAATCACAAGAAGTGCAAACAGCTGAATTTGAGGACATATCATCAACAAGAAAATGATGTTTAAGTTTACAGAATCCGTCATCCATAATACATAAATAGTCACACACATTGTCAGCTGGTTCATTGAACACTAACATCGTTATACCAAATCTTACTATTTGTTAGCCAGAGGTTGACTTCAATATGCTAATTCCTAAGCCACATATCATGCTTACATTGAGATTCAGTCATTTATAAGGTGTCCACTGCAATTGAATTCGAGTAATTAACAATTATCTTAACTTGCAGTGTACGGGTTTTGAAATTCACTCGGAACAACAATTTATACATGACTTCATGGTTGTTTTAGTACGAAAATGCCAAGTAAATGCCTTTTAACTTCTAACCTGTTAACTTGAATTCAAATTAAAACTGGAAACGTGAAACTGCATAAAATGTCATTCCGAGTACCATCTAGAATTCGAAGCAATGTACAACATAAATATGCAAGTAATTAGATAACAAAATAATGACGTAAACAGCTAAATTCAAATCGGATAACAAAACTAAGCAATCAGAAGGCTGTAGCATTCCGATTTTCTACAGAAAAAAACCGAATTTAGATTATTGAGAAAATCATCACTGACGAACGGCAATTTCAATTCTCCACAATCACCAAATCGCAATTTAATTCCCATTTCCCGCGGAAAAATCGGATTTCATAATCAGTGATCTTCAATCAATCGAAATGAAAAGAAAATTCTGAGATATTAGAGTGCCGGTAACCTTTTTCAACCGATCGCCGGATGGTCGCCGGCGAAGAAATCAGGCCGTTAGGTGGAGGGAGAAAGCGATAATGCTACGGACGATGGCGATCTTATTCCCCGAGACTGAGTAATCTCATTCCCGATGCCAGCGATTGTTTGCTTCCATTGCGAATAAGAATATGCGTCTGATTAATTAATCGTATTATTATTATACAGCCCGAATAAGGTAAACTACCTAGCTGCTGATTTTACACGTTGCATGCTTTGTTTTAACAGTAAGCGCGTTAGCGTTGCATAGTTCCAATTTTTTTGGGTGTTACTATTCACCGCCCCCCTTTTACTACTCACCGCCCTCCTTGGACAATTTTGCCCTTCTCATTTTTTCTAAACATATCAGACAATTTATGAAAAAATACGTGTCCGGCCGCCGGTTCCGGACAGCTTAAAGCCCGTCCGGAACCGGCGTCCGGACGGCTTAAAGACCGTCCGGAACCGGCGTCCGGACGGTTCAAAGACCGTCCGGAAAGCATGGCCGGACGGACCGGGGTCGTCCGGAACCGCCGGCCGGACGGACCGCGGCCGTCCGGAACCGCCGGCCGGACGGCAATTTTTTTTTT